CAATACAAAGAAATAGTAGTGGTAAAAAAAAAGCATTTCTGGGTTTTACAAACCGATTTTTGGTAGAATTCTCCTTTAAGGGGGCGTGGTGGGGGTGTGTCCTATGCCTACATACTTTTCCTAATAGGTGTCTCTCGTTCCCATCTCAAAAGCTTGGGAGTTATGTACATCGGGGTATCCAAACCACAGGCGGGGGGCCACATCTGGCCGTCTACGGGATTTTTGCCGGCAGCAATTTGCTTCATATTTACATCATACGGTTCAATAGTGGACAAGCTAACAGCAAAAGAAATGGGGGTTCTGATGTGAAAGGGGGAGGCAGATATGAAGGAGAGCTCTGATGTGAAAAGGGGGGCTGATAAAAGGGGGAGGAAGCTCTAATATGAAAGGGGGGGCTGATATGAAGGGGGGCTCTGATGTAAAGGGGGGTTGATATGAAGGGGGACTCTGATGTGATAGAGGGGGGTCTGATCTGAAGGGAAGCTCTAATATGAAAGGGGGAGCTGATGTGAAGGGAGGCTCTGATGTAAAGGGGGGCTGAAATGAAGGGGGACTCTGATGTGAAATGGGGGGCTGATCTGAAGGGGAGCTCTGATGTGAAAGGGGGGCTGATATGAAGGGAAGCTCTAATATGAAAGGGGGGGGGGGCTGATGTGAAGGGGGGCTCTGATGTAAAGGGGGTGATATAAAGGGGGACTCTGATGTAAAAAGGGGGGTTCTGATGTGAAAGGGGGGACTTTAGGTGAAAGTGGGGCCTGATATGAAGGGGGGCCTGATATGAAGGGAAGCTCTGATGTGAAAGGGGGGGGGGGGGTAATGTGAAGAGGTACTCTGATGTCAAGGGGGGTTTTCTGATGTGAAAGCGGGGACTTTAAGGTGAAAGTGGGGCCTGATATGAAGGGGGGCTCTGATGTGAAAAGGGGGGGCTCTGATGTGAAATGGGGGGCTGATAGGAAGGAGGGCTCTGATGTTCAAGGGAGGATTCTGATATGAAGTGGGGACTCTGATGTGAGAGAGGGAGCTCTGATGTGATAGAGGGGTCTGATGTAAAGGTGGGGCTCTGATCTGCAAGGGGGGACCATGATGTAAAGGGAGAACTCTGATGTGAAGGCGGTGTTCTGATGTGAGGGGTTGCTGTGATGTGATGGGGATCTTTTGCTATGAAGGAGGGACTCTAATGGAAAGGGGAGGTCTGCGATGTGAAGAGGGGTCTCTGTTGTATAAGGGGGGCTTTGAAATGATTTCGGGGCTTCTGAAGTTATTTCTTAGAAGGTGTTTATTTATTCATTCAAATGCTATTTATTTATTTATTGTTTTCCATCCCATAATTATTTGTCAAACATGCAATGTGGCCTTCATGTTGAAAAGCTTGTAGAGCCAACGATCTAACCCAGAGAGGTCTCTCAGCCAATCATGGTCCTTTTGTGCAGTCAGTCTGACACTGTAAACACGCTGACAGGAGACAAGGAGGGCTGACAATGCTGCACTTGCAGCATGGGGAAATGTACATGTGTGAGATGCAGAGAGATGTACTGAATTGTTTTGTTTTGTTTTTCTTTCATTTTGCTCAGACTCATTTTTTTTCAGGCCAGTCTAGTTGGATTGCAATCATTTATCAGTATTTCTGGCTTGTGGATGGGTTGGTGTGCCAGGAAGAGACTCACACAAATGCTAACCAGATCCCGACCCTGGAAGAACCAAATCCTGAATCCAAGAGCGCAAACCATCTGAGCATTACCAAGCGACAGTGACCTTCTCCCCCGTTTGCTTACACTTTACCCGTTTTTTTTCCTGTGCCGTTGATAACAGGATATCAATAGATAATCATATTTCCTTGTATCATACAAGTGACATTATATTGCCTAACTGACAACAACAGCTGTTTATGAGGACAAAGTTTAGACCGATAAGCAGAAAAACAGAGATCAGCCGTTGAGAACGAAACTTTCCAAGGTCAAAGTTCTGCTTTCCATAGAGTGGATGATGGAGGCTTTTGCACCCTCAGATTGAGGTTCAGGTTCACTACCCACATGGGTTCAAGGTGCATCCTACACAAAGTTATGTGCCGATTAGCCCAGGATCGTTTTGGTATACCATAATATACTGCGTGGCCTTTGAACTATGGCAAGTAGGCTTAGAAGGACCAATTAGGGGGGCTGTTGGATGAGCCAAACCCCTAAGTAGAAATATGGGAGGAAGAGAGCAGACAAAAGGGGTTGGTTTACTAAAACTGAAAGTGCAACATTTGGTCAGTCAGCCTTCAAGTTTTTTCATCAAAGCTCAATTGAACAAGTTGAATTAGCTGAAGAAGCTGGTTGGCTACCATTGCACCAGATTTTGCACTCTTCAGTTTTAGTCAATAAACTCCATAGTGTCATGGTATTGAAACAGCCATAAGAAAAGAATAGGGAAAGCTGGCAGACTGATAAAAAAACATGAGCAAATGGATGCTGAAACTCCTGCGCTGGACGATGAGCTCCACAATGTCAGTGGCCCCACATGGAGTACTTTTTGGGAATGCAAGCCTTGCTGTCCTCAACTGACCAGGGAAATCCAAAGGAGCTGTGTGCAAAGAAACAAACAGAGGGCGCACGGGCCTAGTGCATTACCTTCTAAAAATGAGATTTATTAAATAAAAGTAGTATACTCACAAAAGAATAAAATCAAAGGCACATCACGAAAAAGACAGCATGGTCCAAACTCCCTAAATGGTGGCTGTCCAAATGGCTGATGTATTTCAAGGCAGAACCTCTTTCTCTTCCTCTAACCCTCTTAACGCTAACCCTACCTCCTAACTCTAATCCTACTCCTAACTCTAACCCTACTCCTAACCCTACTCCTAACACTAACCCTACTCCTAACCCTACCTCCTAACTCTAACCCTACCTCCTAACACTAACCCTACTCCTAACCCTACCTCCTAACTCTAGCCCTACCTCCTAACACTAACCCTACTTCCTAACTCTAACCCTACCTCCTAACACTAACCCTACTTCCTAACTCTAACCCTACTCCTAACTCTAACCCTACTCCTAACCCTACTTCCTAACTCTAACCCTACCTCCTAACCTTACCTCCTAACACTAACCCTACTTCCTAACACTAACCCTACTCCTAACTCTAACCCTGCTTCCTAACTCTAACTCTATCATCTAACACTAACCCTACCTCCTAACACTAACCCTACTCCTAACCCTAACCCTACCTCCTAACACTAACCCTACCTCCTAACACTAACCCTACCCCTAACATGAACCATACTTCCTAACTCCAACCTAACGCTACCTTTTGACCCAAGTGCATTCCAAATACCATTATGTAGAGTAGATGTTCCTGTTGAGCACCTCTCATTGTAAACAGGAGCAGAGATAATCAACAAAGAATTGTAGGAGGAGGCAGTTAAATCTGGAGTAAACACAACACATTCACTTTAGCAGTTTTTTTTTTTTTTTTCGTTAGTAACCTTCCTGCTTAGACTGTCCTTACATTACCAAGACTTTTTTGTTATCTGGCATCTTCCTGCTATGTTTTGTTTTCTTAAAGTGGCTTGACAACATTTTTTGTTTTTCTTGTTGTACTTAATAGCAGAGCATGTCAAGTTTTCTCTTTCGCATCAAGAAAAAAAAAGACAAATTATCTTTTTATAAAGCCCATTCATAATCATACAATACAGCTCATGATTGGCACAAATGGTTGAGTCAACAATAAGACTGGCTGTACTCACTTTGCCCATCCATTGCCTAAACAGTAATGGTTGTGAGGCCGGAGTATTTTCGTTTAGGGAAGAATCTGGGCCAGAAGATGTTCTAAGAATTTTGCAAGTCCAGAGGCTGTGTATTGTCGTTATGCATGCAATGAAGAGCAGGCATTGTTAAATTTTTCCAAGACTGCGGGATGTCAAACATGGGTGTAGTGGGTTCTTCTTAAAGTGGAAAAGAACTGAAGAAGTGAAGGTTTACATTGTAACATCTAGGAACATCTAGTTTGCATGGCCATCGTGTCTCATCTCTTGCAGTCAAATTTTCAAATCAACTGAACTGAGGCAGTAGGGAGAGCAGAGTAGGACACCATAAATCACACATTTGCCTGCACAGGCTGGAATGGTGTAATAGTCTGCATGCTTCCCCTGGGCTGTAATTATTCACCATGTCTATCACACCAATGATGACACCATCTTTGCACATTTTCCACTCCTTTTTGTTTAATTATTTACAAGCACTAACTTCAATGATGTGCTACTGGAGGCCATCTACCAGTGGCTGCTTATAATGAGAGCAGAATGAGCCCGAGGCTTCAGAGGTAGGATTGTTGACAAAATGCAGCATTTTAGTGTTCGTCATAGAAAGCCAGTTTAGGTTTTTCACTTTAGTCCAACCTTTCTAAAACGTATTGCTACAAAGGAACCCCTTAAATAATGTTGAGATTTTGGGGAACCCCTGCTAAAATTGTTTAATTGCGGTCAGTGGGAGGAATGTCCCTTACATTGGTGATCAGTGGGGAGAATGTCCCTTACATTGGGGGTCAGTGGGAAGAATGTCCCTTACATTGGGGGGTCAGTGAGAAGAATGCTCCTTACATTGGTGGTCAGTGGGAAGAATGTCCCTTACATTGGTGATCAGTGGGAAGAATGTCCCTTACATTGGTGATCAGTGGGAAGAATGTCCCTTACATTGGTGATCAGTGGGGAAGAATGCTTCTTACATTGGTGGTCAGTGGGAAGAATGTCCCTTACATTGGTGATCAGTGGGAAGAATGTCCCTTACATTGGTGATCAGCGGGAAAAATGTCCCTTACATTGGTGATCAGTGGGAAGAATGTCCCTTACATTGGTGATCAGTGAGAAGAATGCTCCTTACATTGGTGATCAGAGGGAAGAATGTCCCTTACATTGGTGGTCAGTGGGAAGAATGTTCCTTACATTGGTGATCAGTGGGAAGAATGTTCCTTACATTGGTGATCAGTGGGAAGAATGTCCCTTACATTGGGGATCAGTGGGAAGAATGCTCCTTACATTGGTGATCAGTGGGAAGAATGTCCCTTACATTGGGGGTCAGTGGGAAGAATGTCCCTTACATTGGTGATCAGTGGGAAGAATGCTCCTTACATTGGTGATCAGTGGGAAGAATGTCCCTTACATTGGTGATCAGTGGGAAGAATGTCCCTTACATTGGTTGTCAGTGGGAAGAATGCTCCTTACATTGGTGGTCAGTGGGAAGAATGTCCCTTACATTGGAGGTCAGTGGGAAGAATGTCCCTTACATTGGAGGTCAGTGGGAAGAATGTCCCTTACATTGGAGGTCAGTGGGAAGAATGTCCCTTACATTGGAGGTCAGTGGGAAGAATGCTCCTTACATTGGTGGTCAGTGGGAAGAATGCTCCTTACATTTGGGGGGTCAGTGAGAAGAATGCTCCTTACATTGGTGGTCAGTGGGAAGAATGTCCCTTACATTGGTGATCAGTGGGAAGAATGTCCCTTACATTGGTGATCAGTGGGAAGAATGTCCCTTACATTGGTGATCAGTGGGAAGAATGCTCCTTACATTGGTGATTAGAGGGAAGAATGTCCCTTACATTGGTGATCAGTGGGAAGAATGCTCCTTACATTGGTGATCAGTGGGAAGAATGCTCCTTACATTGGTGATCAGAGGGAAGAATGTTCCTTACTTTTATGGTCAGTGAGAAGAATCCCCATTGGAGCACTACTGCACCATTAAAAAAAAAAACTAATTTCCAGTTGTGCTCAGTCCTGTGACATCACAGGGCCTCTTTAGTCCAACCTTTCTAAAACGTATTGCTACAAAGGAACCCCTTAAATAATGTTGAGATTTTGGGGAACCCCTGCTAAAATTGTTTAATTGCGGTCAGTGGGAGGAATGTCCCTTACATTGGTGATCAGTGGGGAGAATGTCCCTTACATTGGGGGTCAGTGGGAAGAATGTCCCTTACATTGGGGGGGGTCAGTGAGAAGAATGCTCCTTACATTGGTGGTCAGTGGGAAGAATGTCCCTTACATTGGTGATCAGTGGGAAGAATGTCCCTTACATTGGTGATCAGTGGGAAGAATGTCCCTTACATTGGTGATCAGTGGGAAGAATGTCCCTTACATTGGTGATCAGAGGGAAGAATGTCCCTTACATTGGTGATCAGTGAGAAGAATGCTCCTTACATTGGTGATCAGTGGGGGAGAATGTCCCTTACATTGGGGGTCATTGGTGATCAGTGGGAAGAATGTCCCTTACATTGGTGATCAGTGGGAAGAATGTCCCTTACATTGGTTGTCAGTGGGAAGAATGCTCCTTACATTGGTGGTCAGTGGGAAGAATGTCCCTTACATTGGAGGTCAGTGGGAAGAATGTCCCTTACATTGGAGGTCAGTGGGAAGAATGTCCCTTACATTGGAGGTCAGTGGGAAGAATGTCCCTTACATTGGAGGTCAGTGGGAAGAATGCTCCTTACATTGGTGGTCAGTGGGAAGAATGCTCCTTACATTGGTGGTCAGTGGGAAGAATGTCCCTTACATTGGAGGTCAGTGGGAAGAATGCTCCTTACATTGGTGGTCAGTGGGAAGAATGCTCCTTACATTGGTGATCAGTGGGAAGAATGCTCCTTACATTGGTGATCAGTGGGAAGAATGTCCCTTACATTGGTGATCAGAGGGAAGAATGTCCCTTACATTGGTGATCAGTGGGAAGAATGCTCCTTACATTGGTGATCAGTGGGAAGAATGCTCCTTACATTGGTGATCAGAGGGAAGAATGTTCCTTACTTTTATGGTCAGTGAGAAGAATCCCCATTGGAGCACTACTGCACCATTAAAAAAAAAACTAATTTCCAGTTGTGCTCAGTCCTGTGACATCACAGGGCCTCTTTCTCAGGTGGGCAGAACCTAAATGCCACAAAGAATGTGGCTCCATAATGATAGGGGTCATCTCTCTGCAGCATTCTTCTCTGAGCCCAGGGCGAGGAGATAGCAAAGGGGGGCCAAGTTTTAAAAAACAGTAACTGACAACTTTTATAAGACGTGTTAAATGCAAAAGTCAGTTGTAGCATTTATTATTGTAGTTTTTTTTTTTTTTTAATCTCAAATAGAAACATATAAAAGAGAGGCAGAAAGAGATCCAGTGGTCCATAGAGTCTGCCTTTTTCTTTTTTTTGTGTATGTGTGTTTTTTTTTTGCTTCTTTTGATTTTTTTGTTTTAACTTGTTTTGTCTGAGTATAGGTCTATGCTTGTCCCAAGCATGTTTGAAGCTGTTTACTGTTGATCTTTAATGTGTATCGACTGGTGGGAGGGGGGGGGGGGGGGGGGCGTCAACACGCAAAACTAGACTCAGCATTGAACACCCCCGGAAGTGTTTTGGATATTGAAAATTCTTCAGCCGCCGTAGCTCTGCAATGGAGCCGATGTAAAAGTCGTCTTCGTTGGAAGGGTTCTCTTCCTTTTTTTTCTATGGCTGGAACACTTTAAGTGTTACATTTATAAAAAAAAATATCAAAACAAAAATGATTTTTTTACATTGCAGAGTTTTGCTGTAGAAATGATCAGATAACAGAACAAGCCTGAAATTCTCAATAACAAGACAGAACTTTGTAATTACTTCCCTCCTATAATACTTTGTTTCAACCCAAAACCAAAAACGTCCTACATTGCAGCTTACCAATCATTAGATGTGGCGGCTGCATTGGTTTTCTTTTTTTAGGCTTTTTTGTTCCCCTTTGTTTTCACCTGGTGGTAGGCTCCGTTCAGACTAGTGCGTTTTTTAGTGCTTTTTGCAGAAACGCACTACAGTCCATGTAACATGGTTTCCTATGGGACACGTTCACATCGAGGTTTTTTTGAGCCGCTGAGTTTTTGGAAAGGGTCGGGGACTTATTTTTAAAAAGCAGCATTCTTGCTACAATAGAGTTAAATGATAATCTGCTGAAATGCATGGTAGTGCGTTTCTGCTGCGTTTTCGCAGCGTTTTGCAGCAAAAAAAAGAACGAAATGCGTCAAAAACGTGTAGAAAAATGCATAACGAACTGCGAAAAGCACTGCAAAACGAACAAAAAGCAAACTGTATAGGTGTGAACTGAGCCTAACACACCTCCTGTATTAGAGCGCCCCCACTCTGGATGAAAGAGGACAGGGGGAACCTTTGGACAAGAGCATTGTCAGTCTGGGGAGGCGGGGAATATTTGGTGGACTAGCAGATTCAAACACACTAACAAATTGAAGCCAAACTCCAGCTCCCACTTTATAACCAGTGACAGCAACAGTTTTTTTCTTTTTTCTTTTTTGTGATTAAAGGTGATCATTGTAAGCCCCCCAAATGGTTTGTCTATTTCCTGTAACTGCTACATCTGCAGGACAGCTTGTTATGTTCAAAAACAACAGGCTTACTGGCAGGATCACCAGGAGAAAATAAAGCAAAAAAGTATGAAAAAAGAACACTAATGCAGCAGTCACATCTTAGAATTGGTAAGCTGCAATATAACGAATGTTTTCTTTTGGGTTTAATACTGCTTTAAGTGAACTCCCAACGGGGACCGTCGATATTATAGCTGGTCCTTAAGTGGTTAAAGTATTTGTCAGCTGGCTGGTGTTCTATCTGATGATATCTAATCAAGAGAGTGCGGGGTCCGGGGAGAGCGGATATAGTGAATGCGGGGTCCGGGGAGAGCGGATATAGTGAATGCGGGTTCCGGGGGGAGAGCGGATATAGTGAATGCGGGTTCCGGGGAGAGCGGATATAGTGAATGCGGGGTCCGGGGGAGAGCGGATATAGTGAATGCGGGGTCCGGGGAGAGCGGATATAGTGAATGCGGGGTCCGGGGAGAGCGGATATAGTGAATGCGGGGTCCGGGGAGAGCGGATATAGTGAATGCGGGGTCCGGGGAGAGCGGATATAGCGAATGCGGGGTCCGGGGAGAGCGGATATAGCGAATGCGGGGTCCGGGGAGAGCGGATATAGCGAATGCGGGGTCCGGGGAGAGCGGATATAGCGAATGCGGGGTCCGGGGAGAGCGGATATAGCGAATGCGGGGTCCGGGGAGAGCGGATATAGCGAATGCGGGGTCCGGGGAGAGCGGATATAGCGAATGCGGGGTCCGGGGAGAGCGGATATTGCGAATGCGGGGTCCGGGGAGACAGGATATAGTGAATGCGGGGGTCCGGGGAGAGCGGATATAGCGAATGCGGGGTCCAGGGTTTAGTAACACTTTAATATTTCCTGTACTATGGCCAATCACTTTTTTGAGTTCATGTCATATTGAAATACTTTGAACTAGGAACTCAAAGTAGTTCAAGTTGAACTACTAGGAAAAAAATACTTTACATTTAATATGATGAAATATCACGAGAAGCTCTTGACAGGGAAGTGGTGAACTTAAAAAACCTCTTAGTCAATTCACAGGGTAAACATACTGTAAAATCTTCGTTTGGCTGTGTATTCGTCTGTATGTCTGACTCACACAAAGTGGTAAGGGAAATAAGGTCAGTACTGCTGAGTTCGCACATTTTCCTGCTGTCAAGGTTCTCATCTATCAAAGTCATGGTGTAGCTAGTAGTAGTTAAAGTGGAGCTTCACTTCAGCCCGGGTTCACACTGATTTGGAGCAGACTTCTCAGCGTTTTCTGTGCAAATTCCGCACAGCATCAGAATCGCACCCCGTTCATGTGAACCGCTGCGGGTGTGTGAGAAACGCATCGCCGTATTGCAAGAAATGGACTGGTCAGGAAGGGGGGGGGGGAGCGGTAAATCCTCTGGAGGGCAAGGGGTTAATCTTCAATCCAAACAAACAGAATGCAAACTTGTCTATGCCCCCCACAGCTAGAAGGTAGCAGCCAAATCTAATAATAAACTATTATTGGACAATGACCTGATTCCATTTATCAGTCACCTATTCAGCACCGACACATGTACTATGCAATTCTTTCCTCGCTACAAAAGTACAAAGACAATTCAACATGTCTACCACATGCATGCCTATCCAACATGGCTACAATCCAACATGGCTACCATTCAACATGGCTACCACGTCCATACCAACATGGCTATCCAACATGGCTACAATCCAACATGGCTATCCAACATGCCTATCCAACATGGCTACAATCCAACATGACAATCCAACATGGCTACAATCCAACATGAAAATCCAACATGGCTACAATTCAACATGGCTACCATGTCCATGCCTATCCAATATGGCTACAATCCAACATGACAATCCAACATGGCTACAATCCAACATGGCTATCCAAAATGCCTATCCAACATGGCTACAATCCAACATGACAATCCAACATGGCTACAATCCAACATGGCTACTGCGTCCATGCCTATCCAACATGGCTACCACGTCCATGCCTATCCAACATGGCTACCGCGTCCATGCCTATCCAACATGGCTACCACGTCCATACCTATCCAAGCCTGTTTGGTCAAAACCTGAATATCCGGTATGATTTTCCATTGAGGAGGGAAATCCCTACAAAGAGTGAACAAACTCTCTGTACAAACAGTCTGGGTCCTTTCCCACGGAGCGGATCTGTTTAGCAGATCTGCTTGCTCAGCAGGGGGGGAATCTCTCTGCTGATCCCTGCTGAGCAAGGGGATGACGGTTCTGTGTCCCCTCCGCTGCTTGCAGAGCAGACACAGAGCTGCTCCTCAATGGGCGGTGGTATGAAAACGGCCTGCCTATCCGTTTTCGTCCGATCGGATGTCGACGGGTGTAAACGAACACTCCATAGAGGAGAATGGAGGTTCCGATCGGGTCCACCTGAAAAATGGACAAGCGGACCCGATCAGAACGTTGTCGTGAAAGAGCTCTGCTGGGCACCGGAGCTCAGCACTAGACGGCAAATATTTACATGGAATATGTTTGGCAATTTCCTTGTTCCATTAGATATGGTGTACATTCATTCGGTGCGGAATTTGCAGTGTTTTCTGTGCGAATTCCGCACCGCATCAGAATCGCACCCCGTTCATGTGAACTACTGCGGGTGTGTATGTGACATTAACAGCACCCCAAAAGTGGTCCGCAAAATGAGGTGCGATGTGCAGAATCGGATCACATAGGTGTGAATACCCATGTGATCCGATTCTAGTGCGGACCAAAAAAAGGATCCTGCATGTGTTTAGTGCGGGTGCGGTGCGATTACAGCCATGCAAAATGTATGACTCTGATCGCACCGCACACAAATCGCATGTGATTGGCACAGGAATGCGGTGCGGCTCCTATGCGAATCACATGCGATATTCCGCACCGCATGCATGTGAACCCGGGCTTAGGCTGCTTTCACAATGAGGAGTTTTTGAAGCGTTTTTGCTTAAAAAAAAAAAGCGCCTGAAAAGCTCAAGAAAAACACTTCTCTGTGTATCTGAATGTATATATATGTATGTGTTCACACTGGGGTGTTGCGCTTGCAGTGCTGTGTAAAAACCGCTGCTTGCAGCATCTTTGGGGCATGTTTGGGGAGGTAAAAAAAATGCCTGGGTTTTTTATTTCTCACCATAAAACGCTGATTACAGCCTGTGTGTACATGAACACATAGAATAACATGCTGGGGAGTTTACTGACTGTAGAAAAAAACGCCAAAAGTCAAAAACAGCCGCTGTAAAAATGCCCCGTGTGCATGAGGACTACGGCTCCATGCACACGGGACGTTTTGATAACGCCGGTAACGTTAGCTGTGTAAAGTCATGTTAAAAACATGAGTTTTTCAGCTTTTTTAGCGTTTTTTTGCATTAGTGTTTACCGGCGTTTGCGTTTTTTAACATTCTTTTGACCCCCCAAAAATTTTTTTGGGTCAAAAAAAGTCCAAAAACACTGCATTTTACCGTATTTTGTCACATTTTTCAGCA